CACGAACAACTAAAAACATGTACTTAATTTAAAGTTTGAGGTCAAGGTCAAGGTCAGGTCAAGGGTACAAATTGCAAGTTTCTACAGTATCGGCCTTGCACCGTAGTTGCCGAAGAATGGAGTCATGGACTGAGACTGATTGCCCAAAACGTGTTCTTAGGCTACCAAGACAATATTCGTTGCATACAATATCATTCAGAGGTCAAGGTCAAGGTCAGGTCAGCCCAGCCAGCAATTCGCTTGGGCTAAACTATGGCAAACGTCGGGCAGCTTGGGCTTAGCTTGGGTTTTCTCACTTAGATAAAAACCAATGCATTTTTTACTTGGGCTGAGCTTGGGCATGCCGCAGCTATGCCCCAGTGTGGCCAGCTGCAGCTCAGCCCGTCATCCGCCCGCGCATCCAAAGCAGGCTCAACTTGGGCGGAGCGCGGGCTGATCAAGCTGTCTGTCTCCTTTGTCTAACTGCAGTAAAGCCAGAGTTAAGCCATGCTTGATCGGCTGTTCACGCATGCGCATTTCTACGCCAGTCACGTTTTGGTCGGGCTTACATCGGGCTACCGCCAATCGTCGCTCAACTAGGGTTTAACTACGGTTGTCCGGAGCTCGCAGAGCGGGCATACCTCCGGCAGAGCATGGGCTTTAGTCGGCGTTTTTGTGTCATACGCCGACTTTAGCCCAAGCCCTAGCCGACTTTAGCCCGACTAAAATCTCGGGCAAGCCGCACTTTAGCCTGCTTGGGCCCGGAGTGAAATTGCTGGCTGGGAGGTCAGGTCAGGTCACCAAAAACAAAATATATAAAAGGGCATGTGCGACACATGTTTTATGGGTCATTTTATTCATAGAATTCAATAGGCACACTCAATAAGTGATATGGACCACCTCTGGATGAATTTCAGGTCAAAGTCAGGTCAAGGTCATGTCAAGTGAGGTCAAATTTTGAAGTTGGTTGTTAAGGCCTAGAAAGGTGTCTATCTGATGTAGTTTTTCACGGCGAATCGAATGGTGCTATTTTAGTTTCTGTACGAGGTCTAGAACTTCCAAAAAAATCATTTTTCAAAAAATTTGTGTGTCGTGACGTCATAAAATTTGAAATAACACCCACCTTTTTGAACCGATTCTTTTGAAAATTGATATGTAGGTGCACATAGACCACTTCTCTGACATATATTCCGTTTTTTTTTCGATACACTCGAAATTTTGGATTTTATGATTATTTTCCCCAAAAAGTCAGTTTTTTGGAAAAATTTGGGCCAAAATCCAAAATTTTCAAAAAACCGAGATGGCCATTTGATAGACAAAGTAGAATCACGTATAACCTTTTTTTGTTACGTCTTGATTCCCTTAAAAATGAAGATGTTAGCGGCGTTTGAAATTTTGCCGTTTTTGAGGCGAAAATGGCGAACATGACGTCACTAAAACGTCATTTTCTAAAAAAAAAAATAGATGTCGCCCAAATTTTCAGGGAACGTGTCAAATTGATGTAAAAAAAGGTACTGAAAGTTTGGCGGCGCTGCGCGCCACCGTTTTTGAGATATTGTAAAAATTCGCGAGGGGGGGTAAAATTTACCCCCCAGCCCCGCGCGGGTTAATATGTATAAGTATGGAAACCAATGTCAAAGGAAATATTTAACGTGAAAGCAAATAGAATCATAAATGTTTTCGATTACATGGAAAGTGTAGCCGTTTCACTCCCATACATATGGGCATATTTCTCCATTTCAGCAGACTCCACCGGGACATACCTTCATATCCCGCGCCCCGTAGGGGGGGGGGCCGAAACGGCCCCCCCCCCTGTCCTTTTCCGTCGATATCTCCTAAACGACTGGAGATATCGCCACCAAACTTTCAGGACCTCTCCGGGCATCAATTTCACACATTGTGACCAAAACATTTTCCAGAGGCTATGACAGGTTGGCCACAAATGACGTCAGAATGACGTCATGTTCTGCCATTTTCGACCGAAAAAAGACCTTCGCGAGAAGAGCTGTCAGGCCTACAGCTTTGAAGATACAGAAAAATGATTAGACATAAAAGATGTAGAATTGACAGGGCTACAAAACTGTTATCTCGGATTATTGAAATTTTTGAGTTTTGACCCCCAAAAATAATTTTTTTTTTATATATTAGCCAAAAAATCCAAAGAGTTTTTGAGTTTCGAAAAAACCGGAATATGTGTGATAGTACCTACCGTCTTCTATCTACATACCAAATTTCAGATCGATATCTCGTTTTTTGGCCAAGTTATAGCGAAAAAACTGTTGAAAAATGTTGACGTCAAATTTTCAAACTCAATTTTTGACAATTCTGGACCACCTAGGGCAAAACAAAGACCACCATTGGACTCCCCGTGACGAGCTGCATCGAATCGATACCCATTTTATGCAAAAATAGCATTTTTGAAATTTGACCTAATATGACCTGACCTTGACCTGACCTTCACCAAAACGTGACCTTAGCTGGCCCCAAAGGCTGCCTGACCCACATAATCGCATTTGTCATGTAAAATGGACCATAAAACATGTATCACACGACACTTTCATATTGTGACCCCCCAGTGACCTGACCTCTGTGACCTGACCTGGTATCAGTGACCTCAGATAGCGAATTATGTGTTTGACGAATAATGTACCATCGGTGGTTTTCAATAACTTACCAATTTACTCGATTTCACAACACATTTCTTGAAATGCCTGTGAACGGTAAAAATCCGACCTTTGACCTGACCTGTGACGTCATCGGTTTGACCTAGGTCAATGAAATTTGGTCACAATGTAGTTCCCGGGTGGGGCTATCGAACGCCGTTTAAATTGTGAAAATCGGCCGGTAAACTTTCGAGATCTTGGGGGGGCCGAAACGCCCACCCCCCTACGGGTGGTAGGGTCCGCCGGTAGCCCTACGGGTCGCGGGATATCAGATCATATCTGACAGGTATGAACTTCTAAATGACACCGATGGTTACTATATATCAAACCGACTGCCAAATTGTACTCTCGAGACAGATGGCTAGGTCCATTCCTGACAGGGTAACCCCTGACCTTTGCGCTAATTTCTGGCGGCTGGTGATTGCCGGCCGCGCGGTGTGTGCGCGGCTGTTGACACATGACATACAATTCCCGCCGGCTCCGGCCGGGCCATGCATGCCATGTCATCAGCGTAATCAGGGCCGCCCGACAGCAGGTCGTAAAGCCAGCATGCCACAGCCGGCCGGGACCTTCTGAGGTCTGCAGAGGTCCCAATCATGGCACCGCTCGCGGCGCAGGGCAGGACTGGGAAGGGTTCAGCGATGGCCTTATCCGACTCCATCCTCCAAATTCGAGAAACATGTGTCTGTTGACCTTCCTTGATTGTTATCTAATTTGATAGATTAACCCTCGCCCGCACATGCTATTTTCCCATCCTAGAACGCACATGGGGGGGGGGTTGCCACCCCCCACGCCATTTCGTTCCTGTTGGAGATAGAGCTTAGCGGAGATAGAGCTTAAAGACCAAAAAGATTCTTTGGGAAGAGACGAATCCAATGATACCCAGTTTTACCTTCTCAGGTCAGTCATTGACCTCCCAGGTCAAGTCAAACTAAAAAAATGTTGCTGTTTTGGGTCACCGTTGGATATCAAGTGCGCTGCTTAGCATATACCGATGACGATGCCGTTTTCTGGTGCCAAGCCAGCTAGAACCTCTTTGTCACACTACCCGACCAGGTTTTTGCTGCTGAGGTCATTTCAGGTCAAGTTAGGTCAAGGTCAATGATATGTGTTTGTATGTCTGTGTGTGTCTGTGTGTATACTGATGTGTGCACCGATTGTTTATGTGTCCATATTACATGAAATCATGATCTGAGAGGCTTTTACCAAAAATGCAGTCAAAAAACTTCACAAAAAGTAAATTCCGCTTGCCAAAAACGCAATTATCTTAGATGACCTACGTTGGCCTTGACCTTGACCTTGACATCTGTACATCGTCGAACAACATGTTCCATGATAGGTGGGAGGTAAGACTGGCAAAAAAGGCCGAAATCAAGGTTTCAAAAGCTCACAAGGCCCATAGCCAACGCAAGATGTTGAGAATTGGCCATTTGGGTCATGACATGACCTGAAAAACAAGGTCATATCTCCGAAACCAAAAACCACAGAAACTTGAAATTTTCAGTGGACATCAAGAAAGGATAGAGGAGCAGCTATACGAAAAATCAGGCTTCTAGCTCTAAAAATGTTGAGTGCAGAGCAGAAAGACAACCTGGGGGGGGGGGTGGCAACCACCCCCCATGTGCGGGCAAGGGTTAAAAGGCACCCAAGGCCTTGAAATAGCTTATCAATTGGTTGAACAATGCATTTTGTGTGCACCATGGAATATTTCCTAGCTCAATGCTAATCTGATGTGCCAGCATCAGCGATAAATCAATGATAAACATCTTGTTAACATCTGCCTAGCGAATACAAACCATCAAGAATGTATGCACTTTGAGCATACACCCATATCATATTGTCACTCAAAGATGGAGGCACCGTCTGACCGTTACAGCATCGCAAAAGGTCAGTCCCTGTCCAAGTTTATCTGTAAAACTGTCGTAAGGTCAAATAATTTTCTGGATGTAAGCCACAGCCAGCACAACTGACATTTCACAGTACTGTACTGGGAAACTCAGCACATTCAAAACTTTTCCGGATAACTTTGACAGGCGGCTAAAAACAATCAGATTCTCGACCGCCTGTCACGCTTAGGTGATGTTTTTAGCTTGGGAACGTGATCATGGCTCCCATTGACTTCATGTTTTCACGAGGTTTGCCAAACCGTAAAAAACACTTTTTGTGGAAAAATGCGATCTTTTCATTCATCCAGGCATCAAACATCTGTCGTAGTCCTGGAACATCAACGACTCAACATTCACACAGCTCGACAAACACTCAGGGTCAGTTTGTGATCGTTTGTCTCGTCAGACAGGGATACAGGGTACGAGACCGGCTCCAGTCGTCACGCCGCGCACAGTGCGCCCTGTAGCCTACCTGCGGCAGCCTGCACGTAGGCAGCCACCATGGAGGCCTTCCTGCGCCACGCGTGGGTGCTGAGGAAGCCGTGAGCCAGCGAGACGAGCGCACCGACGGCCAGCATGACGCAGCCGCCGCCGCAGAGCACGGCCGTGACCTGCCAGACGGCCGAGGCGCCGGCGCCGTGCGGGGAGCAGCGCGCCGCAGCGCCGCCGGCCGTGGCGTTCAGGTAGCACACGGCCAGCGCGCCGAACGCCAGGTGCGGCCGCCGGCCGGCGCCCACGAACCAGGCCGGCTGCAGGAAACTGTAGGCGGCCAGCACGGCCACCGCCACCGACACGGTCGTCCACACGGCCGACACCGGCCACGACGTGTACGTGCGCACCACGCGCAGCTTCATGGCCGGGCCGCGCGCGCCGCCAACGCACCTCCCATCGCCGCCGACGTCGGCGCGCCACTGACGGAACGTCGACGCCGTCGAGTCGAGACCGACGGCGCGCGAGCGCGACGCGCGCCGTCACCGCGGTGACGCGGAGGTGGCGGCGGCTGCCTGGCGACCGTGGAATAAGAAACGGCGTCCATAGACCAGGCGAAAGACGCAAATATTAGGGTCTGGTCGTCAATGTGTGCATGCACTTGTCCAATTTGCTGTAATAGATTATAAGCCATAGAGACTGAATGGGTCATGGTTGCGCCAATGTCCCTGGGTAAGGCAGAAAACCACCGATGGAGCACTGGTAGGCTGGCCAGCGGACGCGCTATGCGGGCGCTTGAAGGCTAAAGTAACGACCGCATATACTACGATCCATAATGATTGTGGTTGCCGCTCCCACGTGGCTGCCATACGCACCAGTTGACTATCATCGCTCGCTGTTGGTTTTTATGATTAACGACAGCCAGCTGAGGACATTTCATTCACCTCGAGAAGATGTAGCGTTCGGCTGAAACGGTCACTCTAGAGGAATATACTGCATCGCTGCCACCAACATGATTGGCTGATCCATCATTTGATTCAGCGCCCAGCGACGTCTATGGTGAACAGCCTCCCCGAATCAACGCTGCAACTCCATCTACTGCAGCATCATTATCTAATTTATTGCTAGGCAGAGATAGTTTTCAAAAAAATAATATTTATGCTATCTGTTTCAACAATTGTTTCTACACTACCTCTTACCTATCGCTAAGCAAATCAAACATTTTCTTTTGATGACTGTGCTAGCCAACCGTTCACCAAATGATACGATGGCTATCTAACACTCGCCGGCACAGGCCACTTTGCGTCCTTCGACGGCACATTGTGTTTGGCCCCTGATCGAGCTAAAGCTTCGCGGAAAAACGAGCGTGTTGCCCGTGACGAGAGGAAGCCGATGATACCCGATTTTAGGGTTCTAGGTCATCGGTTGACCTTCCAGGTCAGGTCAATGAACCAAAAGTCGGGAAAATCGGGACCTGTTATATCGTCGTAAAGTGTGGTTGCTATGGGGTTTTCGGGGTGCTGGTCACGAGTCCCATGTTAGTTTTGATCACAGATGATGTCTTTGTGCATTTGGGCCAGGTCGGGTCAGGTCGGGTCAGGTCAGGTCAGGTCAACCTGTAGGGGTTCTGCCGGGTATTTGTAGTACGTGTCAACCGCCTCTGACAGCTTCGTAACATGTTACGAAGGCACCAAAGCTACTTCGTAAATGTTCAAATGGCTGCTAAATTGGAATTCAGCTCCAAAAACTAGCTTAAAAACATGTAAAACTCGAATAAGTGGACCGAGGTCATCAAAGGTCAATGACCTGACCTGGCCTTCAGGTGACCTTGACATCCGCCGTAATGCATGGGAGCAACAGCAAATCACATGTTTGAACGCTTGAAACCACGAAAAGACTGCAAACGCGCAGCTTATGCCAGCAGACATGCGCCAATCGCGATTCCGGCCAAACATGGTCTCGGAACGTAGGTCACAGGTAAAGGTCATTTAGGTCAGGGACATGAAATTTTTAGGGTAAGTGTAAAATTAATTAATGCGAGGATACTGAAAGTTTCGCTGCGATCGGCCGCTTTTTACGCGAGTTATTTGCAAAAAAACTTTTAGGGGGGTTGCATCAACCCCCCCCCCCCCCCTGTGCCGTCGAGGGCTAATGCATATAAAATCTATACTACTATTTGAACAGGATCCATCTGTTTGTTTGTTTGTTTGTTTGTTTGTCCGCCACGTCGTGTAGTGGGTTCAATTCCACTCGCCTACAGGGCAGACGGTATATCGTAGGGGGTTGAAATTTGCACACCTTCTAGGTGACAGAGCGGGTCAACGCCTTTTCTAGGTTTCGGCTCGCTGGGGTGCACGGTTCGCGCGTGGGGCGCGCTGGAAGAACGCCAATGGAATTTTGATCGGTTCGTAGATCTTCATTGAGAGCCGGGGTCGACAAACTTTGTGAGCTAAATGCATGCCGATCGGCGGCGGGTGCCTCGCATTGGCGGAGGGGCAGGTTTTAATTTGAATAAATAGTGGCGAGAGAATGTGTTGATTTTCGTTCAATGGGAACAGTTTGCGATACGAGTACACAAATGCACCGCGTTTGCCGCAAGGCGTCACATTGGTCACAGGGCACCATTTTTGCCGCAAATCGCACAGTTTTGTCAAATATGGTCCGATATGGGTGCAATTTGGTGCAAAGATGCATGCTCAATCACCGGCTGAAAATGCGCCGCGTTCGCCGCAATGCGCCATATTTGTCACAATGCGCCATTTCCCGACAAAATCGATTAAGCGTAATGGAATGGCATGAATAGGGGCAGGGCTGGGAACACTTTAAGTCTGATATTTTAGTACTGATTGGATCCAATTATTCTGTGACCTGACATGACCCAGCGGTGTTGGTAGTGGTAGGGGTAGGGGTAGTGTAGTGGTAGGGGTAGTGTAGTGGTAGTGGTAGGAGGTAGGGGTAGGGGTTGGGGTAGGGGTAGTGGTAGTGGTAGGAGTAGGGGTAGGTGTAGTGGTAGTGGTAGGGGTAGTAGTAGGGGTAGTGGTAGTAGTAGGGGTAGTGGTAGGGGTAGTGGTAGGGGTAGGAGTAGTGGTAGTGGTAGGGGTAGTGGTAGGGGTAGTGGTAGGGGTAGGGGCAGGGGTAGTGGTAGGGGTAGGGGTAGGGGTAGTGGTAGGGGTAAGGGTAGTGGTGGAGGCAAAAGTTGAACAGTGGCCTGGGCTGATCCCATTGGACGAGAGGTGACCTATGTGACCTGGCCTCACCCAAAGTGACCGGGGCTGACCCCTTTGACCCGTCTTGACCCCGTATCAGCCAAATTTCATCCAACAAAGCCATCAGAGCAGTTCTTTTTTCAAAATTTTCCCTTTACATTTCCGTCCATATCTCTGCTTCTAGACGACACATCGACGTAATTCAAACACCATTCGAAAGCAAATTGGCTGGTGCCGCTTTTTTCTACCACGCAGCAAAGCAAGTGGCGCAGCCGCTTGTCTATACTACTATTTGAACAGGATCCATCTGTCTGTCTGTCTGTCTGTTTGTCCGCCACGACGTGTAGTGGGTTCAATTTAGCCGGCCTACAGGGCAGACGGTATATCGTAGGGGGTTGAAATTTGCACACCTTCTAGGTGACAGAGCGGGTCAGCGCCTTTTCCAGGTTTCGACTCGCTGGGGTGCACGGTTCGCGCGTGGCGGGCGCCGGAAGAACGCCAATGAAATTTTGATCGGTTCGTAGATCTTCATTGAGAGCCGAGGCCGGCGAACTTTGTGGACTAAATGCATGCCGATCGGCGGCGGGTGCCTCGCATTGGCGGATGGGCAAGTTTTAATTTGAATAAATAGTGGCGAGAGATTGTGTAGATTTTCGTTGAATGGCAACAGTTTGTGATAGGAATTTACAAATGCACCGCGTTTGTCGCAATGCGTCACATTTGTCCCAAGGCTCCATCTTCGTCGCAAATCGCACAGTTTTGTCAAATATAGTCCGATACGGGTACAATTTGGTGCAAGGGTGCATGCTCAAACAACAGGTACAGATGCGCCGCATTTGCCGCAATGCGCCACATATGCCACAAGGCGTCATTTCCGACAAAAGGAATGGCACGAATAGAGGCAGGGCTGGGAACACTTTAAGTCTGATATTTTAGTACTGATTGAATCCAATTATTCTGTGCCCTGACATGACCCAGCGGTGTTGGTAGGGGTAGGGGTAGTGGTAGGAGTAGTAGTGGTAGGGGTAGTAGTAGGGGTAGAAGTAGGGGTAGGGGTAGTGGTAGGGGTAGGAGTAGGGGTAGTGGTAGTGGTAGGGGTAGTGGTAGGGGTAGGGGTAGGGGTAGGGGTAGGGGTAGGAGTAGGGGTAGTGGTAGTGGTAGGGGTAATGGTAGGGGTAGGGGTAGGAGTAGTGGTAGGGGTAGTGGTAGGGGTAGTGGTAGGGGTAGGGGTGGTGGTGGGGGTAGGGGTAGTGGTAGTGGTAGATGTAGTGGTAGGGGTAGGGATAGGGGTAGTGGTGGGGGTAGTGGTAGGGTAGTGGTAGGGGTAGTGGTAGGGGTAGTGGTAGGGGTAGTGGTAGGGGTAGGGGTAGTGGTGGGGGTAGGGGTAGTGGTAGTGGTAGATGTAGTGGTAGGGGTAGGGATAGGGGTAGTGGTGGGGGTAGTGGTAGGGTAGTGGTAGGGGTAGTGGTAGGGGTAGTGGTAGGGTTAGGGGCAGTGGTGGAGGCAAAAGTAGAACAGTGACCCGGGCTGATCCCATCGGACGGGAGGTAATCTATGTGACCTGGCCTGACCCAAAGTGGCCGGGACTGACCCCTTTGACCCGTCTTGACCCCGTATCAGCCAATTTTCATCCAACAAAGCCCTCAGAACAGTTTTTTAATTATCTTCACATTTCCGTCAATATCTATGCTTCTAGCCGACACATCGATTTGAAACGAACACCATTCGAAAGCAAATTGGCTGGTGCCGCATTTTTTCCTACCACGCAGCAAAGCAAGTGGCGCAGCCGCTTGTTTAATTATCCATTTGAGTAGGATTTGGGTTTTTTTGAATTGCTCAGTTTTTGCAGCGAGCTTTTTCTGTTAGGGCTTGCGAGATATCTGCGTGCAGACATATCTCTTCAGCATTGCGAAGGACACAGGAATGTGGCTGATTCACGTGCGATTGTGAGTGAGGTACCCCCAGTTTGAAGATTCGGCTGTAGAATATGTAGTTTTAAATACGTAGTTTGACGTAGATCTCGGAAAAGTGAGATACGGCCAGAAATGAGTGTGGGTCCCTCCGTTCTGAAGATTCTGATCGGCGCCGATTGAAATAATTCGCCGTGCATATCTCGGCTTATTGACGACCGATTGACACGGGACAAACACCAATCGATACCAAATGGCTCGGGGGGGGGAGTAGAGTGGCAAGTTTTCCTACCCGACGAACCCGGAATTATCCCGAGGGGGTAGGGGTGGGAGTAGAGTCGGGGGAACGGGGGGGGGGGGCG